TTTTAATTATCTTCAAACTTTACTTTTCATGTTTTAGTTATTTAGATCTTTAAAAGAAGTTTCCAAAAATGTCGTTAAATTTTTTCTAGTAAAAAATTGACAATTTTATAGATTCAAAACTAAATTACAGGGTGTTATTTTGGTTTTCTTCCGAATTCAAAATCTTGTTTTTTTGGGTTTTTAAAAAATGAAAATTTAAAAAAAGCCCAATTTTAAAGTTACGTCAAATATAAAATATGTTTTGAAAACAGGGAATCCTAAGGAAAGCGCAGGAAAAGACAGGACGACATTCAGTTTAAGAATAAAGGCACTTAAAAAAAACGGATACCCTTTAGACAAATAAAAAGTAAATATGTTAGCTTTTCAACGTTTTTATCAAGCCGCTCTTTTTTTAAAATTGTTAAGCTAACAATTTTGCGAATTTTTCAATGGATCTTTTCAAAAAATGTATTCAACATAAATTCGACATATACCTGTCCTCGGGATATGTGAGATACTATAAAATATTTGCGCCTATCCTATGTGGAAACAAACAAACAAACAAATAAACAAACAAGCCGAATATATGTTTACGAATATAAGGAATATATGTCCGCATATTGTTTAGAAATTAAGGTTTTTTTAATGAATCTCAGATTTCATATATATATATATATACTGATATGTATACTTTTTTCTCTGAGAGAAAATTTTCAGTTAGTTATTAAATTTACAAGTAAAAGCTTGATAACTTGTTGACCGATTTTAACCCTAAAACGGCCAGTGCAGTGGGCGGTAGGACTAATTCAAGCATGTTTCTGTCACATGAATATAGCAGTTTACATATCCATTAATCCAGGGCATTGCAAATTTTGTTTAATTCATTTTTATTTAGTTTTAAAAACGGACAAAGTAAACAATTTAATTTACTTTTAGAAGTACCATAAATCGTCTTCTTAATGCAAACTTGATTTTGAAAAGTTGTTAAGTATGCTTTAAAAAATTGAAGATAAAAGATTGGTTATGATGCAACAATTGCACTCGCTGGGAATTCTAAAACAACTTACAGAAATTAATAACTCCAGTACATTTCTACCAATGGGTATGTTGGGGGTTTAGAGTAATTTGTATTATAAGAAACTGTACTTATATTTGATCAAAGCTCACAAGGAAAATTGTCCAATGGAATAAACGTACATAATGCCAAATATGGTTGTAAAAGGGAGAAACCCAAAATAGGTGAAAATAAAATAAAAGATTGACTGTGTCATACTCTGGGGATTCCACACAAATATTTCTGCTTTTTGTCATCAGTTCAACTTTAGAAACTGAGCTTTTACGATAATATCCAGAACATCTTTTATGGTCTTATTCATAAATAATTAAAATGAAAACCCCCCCCAAAAATTTGAAATATTATTTCTCTTCATAATTGTTCTTGTTGATCGGCTATTGTGAGTCCTAAGTGTGCAGTATTCAATTGTTTATCTACATATCTTTTCTCAATTACTTAATTACTTATTTCCGAATGGAAGAGAGGAGGGGGGGTGACGTTCAAACTTTTAATCCCTTGACAAACCATTTTTCAGGAGGGGGGGTACTTTCTAATCTTGGTTCCTTTGATAAATATTTCTTGGATGAGGTGAGGGGGTTTTCTAACTGTAACCACTATGGTAAACCGTTGTTAAATAAATGCACTGTGCATTGTATAGGGAACCCCAATAAATCAGGTCTTTTATGTGCCCTTGGTTGGATTTTGAACTTGTACTCTTTCAGATATCAGCGGTCAAAACTCATTACGCTTAGTTTCGTTAGTTATATCCCAACAACGCTATATACCTTTCAATATCTCATTCAAATCTTGAAGTTTTCAATTTGTGTTTATTAGGGTGTCTCAAAAAAATGCACCAGTGTATATTCTCTTTCTCAAAACAATTTGACTCTATTTGAGGATACAAATATATCAAATTATTAAATGTAGAAATCAAATTTACAACATTTTTGATATATATTTTTAGAAATTGTATTTGTACAGCTATATTCTGACGGAGGGCCTATATAGAGAATAGCAAAACTTGCTGAAAATAATCATATTTTTTGAGACACCCTGTATATGTATCCCTGTGTATGTCCTGTTAAGAGCTTTAGATCTGGAATCTTGTTTTTTATATTGTTAAGTGTTTACTAGACCATGGATTAGATTTAACCAATTAGATTTAAACAGATGGATTGTTCAGAGCTTTAAACCAGATTATTGTGGATAACAATTCAGGGACAACGGGGGGGGGGGGATGTCCTTAGAATTTTTTCGCATGTGCAAGATTTATTGTACACAAAAAAGTTGAAACGCAAAATAGAATCGGAGGATTAAACTATTTGGGGTTTTTTCCAAGTCATTTGACTAGTTGTTCATTTTATCAGTGATCATGATTCATTGTTATTCAAAACTGAGTTTGCATTTTATTTAGGGTGTTAAAAACTTTCAAATATTATTTATTTTTAGAAATTTTTGTGTTATTACATGTTGGGGGGGGGGGGATGACATTATTTTAATTAAGACAGAAAAAAAATCTACTTTTTTGACACAAAAGATTTATTTCTTGTGTATATAGTTTTGAATTGTTATATTTCTGATTTATACTTTAATATAGTAAATTAAAATTTACACATGAAGAATCAGATTCATAGACAAACTGAATTATATTTGTCTAAACTAACCAAAATCTAGCCAGGGTTCAATTAGACAATTATTTTAGTAAATGCCAAATTAAACATGATGCACGTTAATAACACAAATTTATTAATTTATTTATTTTTAATTTTACCACATTCATCAGAGCGCAGGAATCATGCCACTTCTTTCTAGAGGACCATTTCATTCAATATGTAGAGCTTTAATTTCTTCAAAATAACAGAATTGAGTCATTAACACATTAGCCTTCAATATTTACCCTTTCTGCACAGTTTGGGCTTGTTTTTCAAGTTTTTATTTGTACTCAATCTGACAATTTTTTTGTCCAAGATATTTGTTCATCCTATCTTGTTAATTTATTTTGTGTTCATGTCTTTTTTTCCTCGCATGACCCCAGGGAAGGTTTTGGATGATCAAAATTTCAAAGATTTGCCTCCAAAAAAATTCGATTTTCATTAAATTTTGAAAATCCACGGACTCTTTTTTATAAAATCGGCGAACTTTTTTTGTTTTTGTTTTACAATGTATACTAAGAGAACATGTTCACAATTGAAATAGAAGATGGGCGCAAAGTAGAAAGAAAAATAGCTAAACTAACTAAACGTAAAGATTGTCAAAAATCAGCACGAATTAAAAAGATGCTTGAAATTCTATTTTATTTCGCAAACCTTAAACATTTTTCCTCAATATTATTGAAGGGCCCGGCGTTGCCCGTTGAAATTTTTTTTTGTGTCCACAGAGAATTTCAGCCCAATCGGTGCAGCCGTTTGGCCGGCTATACGCAACATATATATACGAAAGTCTTGTTTTATTATATTTTTAGTATGAATTCTACAATTCTTATTCATAAAAGCTATTGTATTCATCGTCGAAAACGTATAACAACCCGCCACCAAACCAATGAACTTAAAATATAAAAACTTAAACTAAAACTTTTGTTGAATTTGCGGAAAATATTCCCACAACCTTAGCTTTGGGAGGTGTATTCTCCTCAAAGAATTTTGTTAAGTACTTCAGAAATAAACTACAAAGTTTACTTTTTCCTCGACGGCCTGGTTCGATTTTACTTTTTTGAAGCCTTGGATATGTACATTTCAAAACTGAATTTTCTTGTTCTTCAATTGAAAACAAGTTATTGGTAGAATCCGGATAAATTTTTGCTTAAGATCTTGGATTTTTTTATTTTGATTTTTTATCTTCCTTTCTCTGCAAATTTAAATTTTTCCTCGTCAATTTTAATGTTTTGTAAAATAAAAACTCTTTCTCCCATGCCCATCAAGCATTGTTTAGCGCAGTTTTATTCATGGAATCCTATTGTAAAACTTGTCAGAAATTTCTATAATTGTAAAGCAAAAAGAACCACGCCCTATTAAATACACCAGTTAAATAAAAAAATGTTTATTTGGTTTAAAAGCAGTCTTTGATCAGTAACTGTTCAATATACATTTGCTTGTTATAATCATAAGTTGTTTATATTTTTCAGACATTACATTTGACAAATTATAACTTCAGTGCTCTCTCCCTAAGAAGTCAAGAACTCAAAATAAATGATAAAATGAAAAACGAACAATTATTACAATCTATCTAAGAAAGATACAGCTAGGTCAAATCTTTGTGTTTTGAATCCAGAGGCCCGAATTTAAAGAATTTGAGCCGTAACTAAAATCAAATATTGCTGGTTCCACTTAAAATTGTATTCCGTTTTTCAAGATTTAAGCCGGCGCTCAATTGAAACCGGGTTTTGGGTGATTTGAGACGCAGCTTAAATTCATTAAATTCGGACACAGAAGTCAGAATTTTTGTGTTGTTAATCTCGGGGTTATACATTGACCTTTATCTTATGCAGACCTACGCGACGGATTAATTTAATTCCTCTTCGATGTCCCATAGCGGGGATAACTTTACTTGAGGGATCAAGCATTGATTCTCATATATGAAAGAACCCACATCGGATGTCGAGATCAAGAGTTCAAGAGATGGACGATAATTCATCCAAAAGTTATATTTTGTGATTGGAGCCAATTGCAGAGTTACAGGGTTATCTGAAAAATTTAAGATTTCATAGCTAGACGACTGTACGGAATTAACCATCCATTGGTAGAATGGAATTTGTAATGATACCCTTTAAAAGCTTTGTTTGATTAATAATGAGTGAGATTTAAAATTTGTATCATTAGTATCCACGCTTTTAATTTTGAAAACTGATTACTTTCATCTGTGGTTTCTCTGCAAAAGTGATTTACGTATTTTTTTTTGAAAACAATATAGAAAATATCAGAATTAAACACTTGTCAAGCCAGAAAAATCTTTTACATTATTGATCAGATTTAGGTTTTAAAGGTATCGTTGTGAATCGGGAATATTTCTGTTCTGAATGGAGGTTTATAAGACCTTCATTAAGTCCTTTTCGATCTTTGGGCTGTTCTATTTCAGAGTTTTAGGTCGTAATTAAAGTGTCATTCTTTGTGGGTAGCCCTGTAGGAAAAATTGAAAGATCAAGCCCAAATGTCCTGAAATTTAAAAGATGTCACGACAAAAACATTTTTTGCTAAAAACAAAGTGAATTACTAAAAAAATTATAGTAAAAACGAGATTAAAGATCTACAGAGTTATAATCTAAATTCCATAAAAATTTTACTTATCAAAAATATAATACACATTTAGGCTTTAAACCCCCCTGCCGCTATAAGAGTTCAATGATACAATTTTTTGTTTGTTATCATACTGGTATTAACAACATCCCCTATTTTTCTAGATAAAATTTTTATGTAATTACAACCTTTCTCAAGCATATCAATGTTAATGTGTAATAAAATTAAACTAGAAGGGCAGATGTTTTCTAATCAATAGTTCCAGATTTCCCGCTAGTGGAGTTGGAACAGGACAAGATCAGTTGCCGCACAACATTATGTTCGGGAATATGGGCGTAGACACGACATTACATCAATCAATGAATCCACCAATATCTTGGGTTCCTATGATGATTCTTCTTATGAATGCCAGACAAGGAAAAGGTGGGAATGATTTCAGAAATAATTTTGTAACCATTTTACAATCTAAAATACTTTTTAGGAGCAGATATTTCTGTTGATCAAGAGGAAGATAATATATCATTTCCGCTTGAACCAGAAAACTCAATTTTTGATCCTTCCATTTCATTTAACAATTGTGATCCTCACTACGATAGATGCGTGCCAGACAAGAACCTGGATCCACATCCCTGTAGCCGAACCTGCAAGTAATTTATTCTGAGAATTCTTAAACCGATACTCCATTGAAATTTGCAGTCCATTGATCCTGCTTAAACCATACATCCTGGCCGTTGCATGACTCCATTTTTTTTGTTATACGTACTTTTAAGATTCATGCTGGGATTCATTTGCAATGACTGGCCAATAATCAAAACCCCTGGAAAACTTCTGACTGTTATAATTTGTATATTTCTGAAAAATACTGTATACAGTTACGAAATAGGTTGCAGCCCATAAGGAAAATCATGAAAGGACAAATGTTAAGTATTAGAGTTCTTTAATTTAGATCATAATTTCTCGAAAAAGATATTTCTGCGAGTGAACATAAGTAATTAAATCAAAACTATTAAAACTTGAATATTTACAGAGTTGGGGAGGCAAAAACCTGCTACTATGAGTTTATTGTTGAGTGGTATTCAGTTCTTGGGAAAGCGTGCTTTGAGTGTCCTCTGAACATCACCGATTGTTACAGGTGAATAGATATTTCTTTAGTATCACCGATTGTTACAGGTGAATAGATATTTGTTTAGTATCACCGACTGTTACAGGTGAATAGATATTTCTTTAGTATCACCGACTGTTACAGAAAACTAAATAAGTTTTAAATAATGATAACTGCCGTCAATTGTCTGGTGGGGATAGTTTTGCCCCCCTCGCCCCCCCCTCCCCCAGGAAAATTAAGCAAATTGCAACAGAATTTATTCATAAATTTATGTTTATTTTTAATTTTAATTTCAAATTTTCTGGCTTCTGCGTAAACCACTATAATTGGTTAAATTTTAAAACTTTACGGGATACAAAATACAGATTAAAATAATTTTAAGATTAACAAAAAAGTAGATCCAACATTATTAATCTTGATATTCACAATTCTTAAGTTTTCAGTACAGGAATGAGAAGTTATTATGTTTAGAGATAAACATTACAGTTTGAGCAATGCATTAATTATTCCATTTTCTTAAATTATGAATTTATTCTGTTTTTTCTTTTAATTAATCTGTAATTAGACCTCACTGTGTTGCTGGTGATGGGGTAGAGAGAGGAGTTATTACAGTTAATAGGTATTATTGCTATTATTATTATTATTATTATTATTATCATTATTATTATTATTATTATTATTATTATTATTATTATTATTATTATTATTATTATTATTATTATTATTATTATTATTATTATTATTATTATTATTATTATTATTATTATTATTATCCTAGACAGCTGCCTGGAACACCTATATCTGTATGTTCTGGGGATAAGGTTGTGGTAGATGTTGTAAACAAACTCCCAGTAGAAACAACAACAATGCACTGGCACGGACAGTATATGCATGGAGATATTGAGGGGGAGGAAGGTAAGAATATAAATATGAAATATCTAAGGGACTGATGTTGAAATTTCAAGTGAAGTGAAGTGTTTGTCGGATTCACGAATCTGGGTATTTTTAAAAACTTTATCTTATCAAGAATTAAAAAATATCGTAATTTATTGGCTCGAAAAGTGTTTAATATGACTCATCAATTTTTGAGTTTATAAGTTTCTGTTAAAGTTAGAGAAACTAAAATTGAAATAATCAAATTTCAAAAATAGAAACATGAATAGCTCATTCATTTTTCATCAGGCAAAGGGTATTCGGTACCGTTGTGAATAGGAAATGAATCAGTACAGTACAAACTTAAGGGATTGTTCACATATTTTGAATAATAAATTAAAGGGATTGTTCAGATATTTTGAAAAATAAATTAAAGGGATTGTTCAGATATTTTGAATAATAAATTAAAGGGATTGTTCAGATATTTTGAAAAATAAATTAAAGGGATTGTTCAGATATTTTTAATAATAAATTAAAGGGATTGTTCAACTATTTTGAATAATGAATAAAAGGGATTGTTCAAATATTTTGAATAATAAATTAAAGGGATTGTTCAGATATTTTGAACAAAATAATTAAAGGGATTGTTCAGATATTTTGAATAATAAATTAAAGGGATTGTTCAAATATTTTGGGAAAAAATTAAAGGGATTGTTCAGATATTTTGAACAAAATAAATTAAAAGGATTGTTCAGATATTTTGAAAAATAAATTAAAGGGATTGTTCAGATATTTTGAAGGAAAAAATTAAAGGGATTGTTCAGATATTTTGAACAAAATAAATTAAAGGGATTGTTCAGATATTTTGAAAAATAAATTAAAGGGATTGTTCAGATATTTTGAAAAATAAATTAAAAGGATTGTTCAGATATTTTGAAAAATAAATTAAAGGTATTTTTCAGATATTTTGAAAAATAAATTAAAGGGATTGTTCAGATATTTTGACAAATAAATTAAAGGGATTGTTCAGATATTTAAAAATGAAAATTCCCATTTATTTTAAAAAAATCAAATTCTGTTTTAGAGATTGGTTATGTTGGATTAGGTAAGATGTTGCACAATAGTTAAAAAAAAATAAGTTTTAATGTGGAATTTTAAAGCTTTTATTTGTAGGAGGGGGATATTCAGACTTTTTATGTGCAATATATACATTGCTTCAAAATCTTGACTTTCTGTTAAAATTGTATCTAGCACAACAAAAAATTGAAATTGTTAAACGCGAAAAATTCATACTTAAAGGGAAAATTGGTTAAGTAAAGAATCAATGCTTTTCTCAAAAATTCGGGATTTTTTATGACATTAGTTAATAACTAATATCCTTAATTTAACATAATGCGCATATACATTTTTATGCTTTAAAATCCCATGCTTATACATTAGCTTGATTATATATTTACAATCAATTGAAAACAACGAAGATGGAATAATTTCTTTATAGAAAACAATAACAGAGTTTTGGGATGGATAGATGGATGGGGGATGGGGGGATGGAGACCAAAGAGTAAGCTTTTAAAAACAGTGAAAACCAGAATACTGTGGAATAGGAAAACGACATTAAAGTATTAAGTAACAATTAAGTTTATTTGATGTTGTTACAAAGCAAACAAAATTTACTAGGAACTTGATTAATAACTTATTCAGTTAAATAAGTCTATTTACACTTCTCATATTCATTGGGACTACTCAAATTCTTTACTAGAGTCTTAAAGTCATCTGACTATTCCAGAGTTTTCTGGTTCGATCACTGTATCAGAAAATATCTTTATGTCAACTGCCTAGAAAAAGATTAAATTTTTTCATAGAAATTTATACTTTTTCAGATAAAAGACCCCTGCCTCGAAATATTAGAAGACGAAATACAGTATCAAGGAGGATAAAAAATCCAACCCCCTGGTCGGATGGAGTACCGGGAGTCAATCAGTGTCCTATCCTACCTAGACAAACCTTCAGGTTATACCTGGGATAGATAGATAGATAGATAGATAGATAGATAGATAGATAGATAGATAGATAGATAGATAGATAGATAGATAGATAGATAGATAGATAGATTTGATAAACACTTCTTAAAAGAAAAATAGATTTCAAAGATTGATTTAACATAATTAAATCCACTCAAGTGAAGTTCTTAACATAATCTCCTTTAAGCGCACGTTAATGAACTATAAAGAAATAATACAGGTTTGAAAATGTTTTATTTTTACGGTTTAAATTTACCCTGAAATCGGCGATAAGTCACAAGCAGCCGTAGTACATTTAAATTTCCGAGCAGGGTCAACCTTTCCGGTCCCAGTTTGTACTGTACCTACTCAAATATTTGTTAAGAATCCCTTAAATCTAGGTATAAGTTTATAGCAAACCCTGCTGGAACACATTGGTATCATGCGCATGCTGCGTTCCAGCGTGAGGATGGAAACTACGGAAAACTTATAGTTAGAGTACCAGATGTAGAAAATCTTCATAGGTTAGAAGTAAAATTTTTATACTTTTTTAAACAGCTTTTACTTTTCAAAACTGATTTAGATCTTCTCTTAAATTTTACCCTTTCTTGTATGATGTGCCTGTATTCAATTTATTCGTTGATCGAAAAAACTTACTGAAATTGAATCAAGGGCAATGTTTATAACAATTTTGATCGACTCATATTAATTGGTTTGATTGTCAGGAGTTTGTACGACGAGGATCTGGACGATCACGTGATGATCGTCCAGGACTGGGTTCACAAGACAGGGGTCGATCAGTTTATTCCTCATCATTGGGATGATGGATCAAACAAGGAAATTTTTATCAAAATTTTACTTTTTAGTTAAAAATGTATCAATATAAGATGCAGTGGTCGGCGTTTATATCAATACAACGAAGACGACTTTTTTTACAAAGGTTTTGATTGTTAAAAAGCTTTCTTCGAATTACAAGTTTATAATAAAACAAAGAGAAGCTGATATTTGATTCTTTGATTATTTTTCCCAAGCAAGAAAATCAAAACTTTTAATGAATTTATTAATAAAATTTAAAAGATTTTTTTTACCCTGAATGGATTCACAACGGTACCCTTCAAATATTTGTCTGATCAAATATTCTGCATGAGATATTCTCAATAATCAATTTCCAATTGTTGTATTTCTAAAAAGTGACTTTATACGAACATCTACTTCAGATACAATGGAGAAAATTGTTAGAATAGAACACTTTTTAAAATAAAAAAATGACAATATATTTTATTGATCAACTAAAGGTTTAAAGGATACCATTGTGAATAGGGTATGCCCCTTTAAAATGTAAGGTTGCAACAACAGTCAATTAAAAATTAAATTTTGTTGAAAATATTTGATTAGCCGGAGAGTTTTCTCATAAATGGAAAAGGACGATTCAAGAATTTTGGAATAAATGTCGTCCCCGGGCTCTTCACACCCGTTGAACAATTCAGGCAGAATATCTATCTATCATTATGATTTATCCTGAGGCCGAATTTAAAGAATTTAAGTCGCGGCTTAAATCAGCCAAAACCCGGTTTAAATTGACCGCCGGCTGAAATCTTGAAACATTTGATACAATTTTAAGTAAAACCAACCAAATTAAGCCGCTCAAATTCTTTAAATTCGGCCTCTGGGATTACAAAACAGGAGTTTTTAAACAAACTGTGATTTTTTATCCTTATATCTTTGCAACCCAAATTTCAAACGAGTCTAACTAAGTTTGAAATATAAGAGGTTTACATCATCAGGTTGCGAACATACAAGGATGAGAAAATGTGAGTTTGTTTCCTTTGCTTGCAATTTAAGTGTACTGCAATCTCATGGGAGGAATACGAAACATAAACAAACAAATTTTGTTTATTTGATTGAAGAATTTACGAATCTCTTTTCATGTATGTAAATAAAGATGTACAATTTACATGAGGTTTCTTGTGCATCTAAAAGAGTTTTTTTATAAATTTTTTTAAAAAACTTTTTTCAGTTTTTCTAACTTTAATTTATCTTACACAGCATAAAGTATATCCTAACATTTTCTATAAAGTAATGCACCCATTTTTATCGCCTTCTGACAAAAATAATCGGTGATCATTAACACAAATTCCGGCAAAGTACTTAATCGAAGTAGTTATGGGTCGATAATGTTTGTTAAAAAGCTACATAATTGATCAATTGGATTAAGCAGATCGTTTTTCAACTTAAAAATCATGATTTATTTGAAAATAAGTTCTTCCTCTCTTTTTATTCTTTATGTTAAAAAATGCAATTTTGTCAAAAATCAAATTATTTAAAGTTAAATTTTTTCGATCATATTCTGAAATTTAATTCAGTGTTGAGCAAGGGAAAAAATACAGATTCAGAATTATTAACGCAGGTAAATTTTGAACATTTCCATAATATCGCAATTAATTCGGAAAACTTGTTAAATTTTGAATTATATAAAAAAAAGTCATCTACTTTTATTTTTTGACTTATGAAATGCTCGCTAGGGGTTTTGTGAATTGTAAATTTCGTAACCGTAAATGTTGAGAGCACATTTTTTGAAATAAATAATGATCGACAAATTCCAAATCCTAGTTGAAATGAGAGTTTCTAAGTTCTTTGACCTCATCGATCGTGCCATAAGCGATTAGATAGAAACTGTTTAACTATTGGTTTAACATCCAATTAAGGCACAAATTGCAGATTAGTTTGCCCCCCCCCCCCTTAACATTTATATAAGAAAGGTTTTAAAATAAACTTACTTTTCCTTTTTTAGGCTGCATAGAAGTAACAAAACTTATCCCTCATGTTAGTTCTTTTCCGTTCTTCGTTTCCTATTTTACATTATTGGTTCTTTTTTTATTTACAAAACTCCCATTCTTAAAGGGACTATAAGCGACAAAACTCCCATTCTTAAAGGGACTGTAAGTGACAAAACTCCCATTCTTAAAGGGACTGTAAGGCTAAGCGACAAAACTCCCATTTTTAAAGGGACTGTAAGCGACAAAACTCCCATTCTTAAAGGGACTGTAAACGACAAAACTCCCATTCTTAAAGGGACTGTAAGCGACAAAACTCCCATTCTTAAAGGGACTGTAAACGACAAAACTCCCATTCTTAAAGGGACTATAAGCGACAAAACTCCCATTTTTAAAGGGACTGTAAGCGACAAAACTCCCATTCTTAAAGGGACTTAAGCGACAAAACTCCCATTCTTAAAGGGACTATAAGCGACAAAACTCCCATTTTTAAAGGAACTGTAAGCGACAAAACTCCCATTCTTAAAGGGACTGTAAGCGTAATTTCAGGTAACCCTCCATGCAAATAAAGCCTGAATTACAACAATACCATCGAAACCTTAATATGGTCAAAAGTATGGAAGATACCATTGTTTACCTGAGTTAACAAGTATTTCAATCTGATAATGTCTCCATTACTTCTTATTAGCAAGAAATCCGCAAGCCACTTTTGCAGAGAACCCACAAATGAAAATAAACAGTTTAAATAAACAAAAACATGCTTATTTAATTGATCGGACAAAGTTACCGTTGTAAATCGGGCATTGCAATCTTTGCATGGAGGGGCACGTGAAATTACGCTTACAGTCCCTTTAAACGGAACTTTTTCTGTCGCCCGACTTCTATTTTGTTTATTGTCCCAGGTGTGAGCATGTGTCCAGTTGAGATGTCAATAGAGGGTCACAAGATGCTGGTTATTGCAACGGACGGAATGGATATAAAACCAGTTCTTGCAGGAAACTTGTATTCAAAATAAAAAACGTGTTGTCATTATAGTAGAGTAAAAGAACATAGAACTTAGGATTAAGATATTATTTACATGTTATTGTTTCGCCCGAGAACAGCTCTGGAACTAGTTTTATTGTAAACATTAACAAATATTGTAAACAATGGTTAAACAAAATATCCTGTGCCGACGCAGTAAGATGTATACAATCCCTAAACCCCTATCCTAAGATCTTTTTTTCTCAATCTATTTTAGAAAAGATACAACAGCTGATCCAAGACCTTCAAACCCCATTTGTTTACAAACAAGTTGAAGTTTAAACTAGTTGATGCTTTGCCACAAACTCTGATTTTCCTATACGTATATCTGTTCAACCTGATGTCGTAGATCTTTATATCTTTATTTATCATTATTTATCTTATTTCTCAATCTTTTCTGTGGCTTTAATTTTCAGCAGCTTGTTGGTAAGGCCATGGTTATTCTTATCCCTGTAGTTGGGCTTACCCCACATGGTAAGCCCTGCAGTTATCATAGGAGCCATTTTCAATGTGTCTCTCGATCTGATTGGTTTATAGAAAATTGAATTATCAAAAAAAAAATTGCGCAATTTTTGCAAAAAACTTTGCGGATTTTTTAAAAATATTATCGGATTTTTGAAAATTTCTTTGTGAAAAAATTATAGTCTAGGCGAAAAATGCGCTCTTTTGTTACTCAAGGCAAAATGTTACCCTAGGCAAAATGTTATTAGGCAAAATGTTATTAGGCAAAATGTTACCTAGGCAAACTGTTACCTAGGCAAAATGTGACTAGGCAAATTGTGACTAGGCAAAATGTGACTAGGCAAGTTGTAACTAGGCAAAATGTGACTAGGCAAAATGTGACTAGGCAAAATGTGACTAGGCAAATTGTGACTAGGCAAAATGTAGCTGAGCCATTTCAAACTATGAATTATGTTAGATCGAATAGTCTAAGTTTGAAATATCAAAGGCTTGCATCAGCAGGTTGCCAAGATGCAGGGATTTTAGTTTCTGGCAAAAACTCAATTCATTTCTGTAAGAAAAGAAAACAACTCATCTGAAGAAGAACTAAATTCTGTTTAAAGTTACAATGTAAAACTTTTAATTTTTAGCTACTCTTTCTCCACTAAAATCCAATTTATTTTCGGGCAGAGTGCTTCAAATCATTGGAGGAGGCACTGAAAGCTTAGATATATGATAGTAGCATAATGAAAAATCTAGAAGTATATAAAATACTTTGTTTTTACATTTTTAAAAAGGGGCTGCTAAACGTCATCTTTAGTCAGGGGTTACCCACCATCTAAAGAGGGTCATGTCAACCCTTGAAACTTTTATCTCAGCCAAAGAAGAAACATAGAAGGAAATACCCAAAATTCAACACTTTTCCAGATGGAGAAACGACGATTATTATTATTATTATTTTTATACATTGCTCAATGAAAGTATTAAAAAATCAACTTCAAAAATTTTCTAAAAATCCAAGTTTGTTTTTAGACTCCCTTGTATCACACAACGGTGAGAGATATGATATTGTGATTGATACATCTGGAAACCAGATCAAACCATACAAAATCAAATTCGGAGGTTAGTATTATAATATTAAAATTGGTTTTATTTTTATCTTTGTTTTGACACAAACTCAAATGGTCCAATCCTTTTATCTTAGTTGGTGAAATTTCCAATATTTAATAATTGAGATTATTTGCAGATATAAAAGAATTCATGGTTTGAAATATTAGAGGTTTACAACTTTGGGTTGCAAAGATAAAAAGATTAGAAAATCTGAGTTTGTTTAAGTAATTTTTTTTCTTTCATTTTAGTTTATATGTAGGTTGCATTTGACAATATTTAAGTTTAGTCTTAAAACTGTGTGTGTAAAAGTTGTCCTTAAATGTTTTGAAAGACGGACACTCACGTACTGCAGGGTTATCCACATAGAATAAGACTTAATTAATGAACATAAAAACGATTAAAACAATAATTTCAAGATTGAATTTTTCCAACTATACTCTGAAAAAAAAATTGAAGAATAAATACGTCTTTGACTTCTCATCTTTTGTGGGTAACCCAGTATGTTAACAAGACTAATGTATGTACAATGTATAGGTCTGTTTGACTGTGGTGCTAAGGGTGTACATGGTACAGCACTACTGGTGTACAAGGGTAGTTCAGATAAACAGATAAAGGATGTTTTCAAGGATGGAGAAACTAAATACTCGGAGTATATAAACATTAAAGGAAACATGTATTATTTTTTTAAGAAAATATTTCTCATAAAATGATTTTTATGATAAATGTATTCTATGAAATCTAATAGTAATGATTTACAAATAACCATTTAAATCTGAATTTTTTTGAAGAACTACTCTGAATTAACAAAAATATAATATTTTAATAAGATTTCATGACCTGTTTGATCTCATCATCTCATCCTAATATGTCATAGGATTCCTGCACGCGGGGGCTAAACCGGATATAAACCGGATATCAGGATGTTTTGATGATGTTAGCATGTAAAACATTAGAAACTCATTTATTTCAAAATGAGTGTATGATGTTCAAAATTAATTAAAGGCACCAGATCTGCAAAATAAATATAAAAAATAATAAGAAATGAATGCATGTCTTAAGGAGTACAAGTTAATTCTTTAAATGTGAATTCTGGGGAATTTGAAAACAAACTTACAGTCACAGATCTTAGGTAGGAAAATTTGAAAACAAATTAACAATAAAAAACCTTAAAATATTCAAAAAAAAATTGAAAAATAGAAAAAATGACGAAAAAAACAACAATTTTTTCTTACAATTCCACACTTAACATTTTGTAAGTTTTTGAGAACAGAATTTTAGGAATATCTCACAAATTATGCTCAGCTTAAAAATTTGCGAGACATTCTGTTCTGACATTCGAACAAGAAATTAGAATTTATCTTCTGAAAGTGTGTTTTATATATTCTGTAATTCAGATCTAGTTATCTATCTATATATCTACAGTATTTTATGTTGTCACAAAGCAAATAGGTTTACAAGACACTTATCAAATCACTAATTTAGTAAAATGGGTCTGTTTACATAACACAATTGATGTGTATCATGCTCATTGGACTTCTTAAAGTTAAAACTTCATTCTAAAAGTCGTCTTCCTATTTCAGGATGTTCTTGTTAACACTGTATGTATCGATCTATCTATATTCCAGATCGATGACTAAAGTGCCAGGAATGGATGGGGAGGCAGATAGAACAATTTTTCTAGCATATTCATTCTACGATCTTAACAATCCAGATTTCCATCATCAGGGATTTTTTATTCACCACAAATATACGTGCTCCCCCTTCCAGGTTTTGTTTAGATACTTTAATGCAAAAAAATTAGAAGAAATAAATACTAACAAAATTTAGACACGTCAAAAAACTGTTTGATAAAGAATGCTCAAACTTCTTGAATTTACAACATTAAAAAAAGACATATAATGCAAATAAATGTTGATGCACAGGGTAGGATAGAAAAATATAGAAATATATATTTTTTTCTTTTACCTTCCTTGCTAGCTCCATAATTATTAAAGATAGAGGTCTAAAATGTTCTTAATGAGTTGTCCTGTGGCCGAATTTAAAGAATTTGAGCGGCGGTTTAAATTTAAGCCGCGGCTTAAATATGATTGTATCAAATGTTTCAAGATTTAAGCCGGCGCTGAATTTAAACCGGGTTTTGGCAGATTTAAACCGCGGCTCAAATTCTTTAAATTCCATCTCAGNATGATCATGATCAAAATCATGATCATGATCAAGATCAAGATCAAGATCAAGATTAAGATCAAGATCAAGATCAAGATCAGGATCATGATCATGATCAAGATCAAGATCAAGGTCGAGATCAAGATCAAGATCAATTTTAAGATCGAGATTAGATGGATATTTCAACTTCGCAAAGAAAATATTTAAATGATTTAAAAACTAATTAATCCTAAAAAGTAAAATATACCAGGACTCCCCAAATCAACAATATAACAATGATGTCTCCTGTATCTCCTATGCTGACCCAATACAAGGTTAGATTTAATAAACAGTTTACGGATATTTAATCATTCAGTCAAGTGGCTATACTCTTATATATTAGAATGGCATGTCAGATTAACCACGGTATCCTGCAAATATATATCTGATCAATAAAAAATGAGCTATCCATGTTTCTCTTCTTGAGAATTGACTTTTTCACTTGTGGTTGTTCTACGAGAGTGACTTTCTTCTCACAGATCGTATGGAGTTGATTGTCAGAATTAAGCTAGACAAACTACGATATCCTCCATATTACAATTTGATCTGATACAGATATGAAAAGACTAACATTTTAAACTAACTTCATAATGACCCCTTACTCGTAGGAGGGGGGGGGGGGGATTATCTGTTTAACGTAGATGCCCCGTAAATATTTTTCTCCCAAAGATATTCTTATTTTTCTAGTTGTAAATTGAGTGCAGTGAAGAAAAAAAAATATTTTTTACGAAAATAATCATAACGTTAGGATGTTTATGCTGATATGGTTTGTAACTCTGACAATCTAAATCAAAAGAAGCATTGCAAGTAAGTTTAATATTCTATTTCAAGAACATGTTCTATTTTATTTTCTATAATAACGGGATGTTATGCTACTTTTCTCTCTCTTGAGAAGTAAATAATTATTTACATCTAGTTTACATGGGTGTTAAGGGGGAATTGCACTTTACCATGGGTTCATAAAGAATTTATAATTTTCCGAAAAATGCGGGAATTTTTCACGAAAACTTCTTAGATCGTGTCGTTATTTTTATCAATGTCCCAAGGGACGATAAGAAACTCTGTTATAGGCTCAAAGTCATTTGGTTGGTAAATGTTGGTCAATAGGCGAGACATATATGCACCTTGTAAAGGAAAATTTCAACAAAATATTATTGATTTCTATTTTATATTTTAGAATTATATTAAATGTAAAAAATGTCCTTCACAAAGTCAACACTAACATTTTCTTTATTTGGATGAAAGATCAAAATAAGAACAAGAAAAAATTAAAATTGTAAAAATAATTTTTTGGATTATGGGTTTGTGCTCTTTGTTTAAAGTTGGATCTTTCTATTTAATCGCTTATTGGTCATAACTGAATTATCAAATAGTTTGAATATTGGTAAAAATTATAATTTAAATAATAAATTCAGGGAGGGTTTCTGTCACTGCTACCATGTTGAAAAATTCAAAGTTGGAGATATCGTTGATATGTTTCTTATTGACGAAGGTAAGAAAATATATTTTTCTAAAAATTTAATTTTACAGATTTGTGCATTTTTGCTACTTAAAGGGACTGTAAACGTAATTTTATGTGACCCTTCACATGCAAAGATGACACTACCTGGTTCACAATTTTATGTGACCATCCATGTAAAGATGACACTACCCGGTTCACAATTTTATGTGACCCTTCACATGCAAAGATGACACTACCTGGTTCACAATTTTATGTGACCATCCATGTATAGATGACACTACCCGGTTCACAATTTTATGTGACCATCCATGCAAAGATGACACTACCTTGTTCACAATTTTATGTGACCATCCTGCAAAGATGACACTACCTGGTTCACAATTTTATGTGACCATCCAAATGCAAAGACGACAATTCCCGGTTCACAATTTTATGAGACCCTCCACATTCAAAGACGANTATGTAACCATCCTGCAAAGATGACACTACCTGGTTCACAATTTTATGTGACCATCCAAATGCAAAGACGACAATTCCCGGTTCACAATTTTATGAGACCCTCCACATTCAAAGACGACACTACCTGGTTCACAAATATCCGGCCTCCGAACATTTTTTTAACCTTACATAGATTTGTGTTATTATATCCGGTCCATAAAAAAGCTGCTACAAAAATCGTCAAAACTAACTTGGATTAAAAATACTAAGGTTTGCCATGGGACGTTTCTCATCCATTCCATCTTCATGGTCTTCATTTCCAGGTACTATTACATAGAATTATGTACAATCTACATAATTATGTACATAAGGGTGTACATATGTACAATGTACATACTTTTGTACATGCATTGTACAGTTTTATGCACATTGTACAATGCACATACTTTTGTGCAATGTACATACTTATGTTATGTACAATGTGCATATTTATCTAGTATGTACAAATTGTAATACTTATGTACAATGTACTAAACATGTAAATTGTCCGGTGGTTTGTAAAATGTACAATGGTAGGTAAATTGTACGTAGGTATATACATTGTACATATTTATATGAATTGCTGTACAATGTATATAATTATGTATTGCTCTATTTAAGAGTTACATATTCGATTCACAAAGTTACCCTGTAAACCTTGAACTGATTATCAACGCCAGAGTTTTTTAAGCAAATCATATTGAAAACTGTAGTGTTTACTAGCGCACCTACATTGTATATTGTACACTGTACATTGTAATTAACGAGTAAATTACAATGTACAAGTTTCATGGAAATTCCGAAACTTCAAGTCCTAAAAGATCGGTCGAGAAAAAAAAACAATTGTTTTATGTATGAAATAAGGATATCTCTGTCATCCTTAATAAAGTGTACCGTTGTGAATCAGAAATACCACTCTACAAGGGGAAGGTGACCTGAAAATACGACTTTAATAGCTCCCTGAAAATGTAAGGTTCTGTCAATGGAGAGGTTTGCTGCTGAACCAGATCATATTTTTGGTTCAAGTCCTCCAGGAAACTCAATAAGGAAATTATTCTTCAGCAAATACTTTTTTAATTTAAAAAAGAAATATTTGTGATAAAAATTATTTATATTCGAATCCCGTTATCTTCGCAATCTAATGGAGTAACCCTTTAATGTCTAAACTTTGACTTTTTGATCTAATATAATTCAGAGTCGAAAATATACAAAGGTCTAAGAAATAAGGTTACAAAGATCAGACAATTAGATCAATAGGAAAGATTCTCAGTTCGCTAAATTTTAGCGAAAAAGAAATGCCAAAATTTCGCAAAAAATTTTTGTTAAAAAAGAGTGAAACAACTTCGGTGGGAAAAAGTGCGAAATTTTGCAAAATAATATACGGAAGAGAAATTATTGATTATGATATAATGAAACTGCTATAATGCTGAGCTCTCAGAGCAGAGATTTCAACAAGTTTTTCGCGCAATTAATTATTCCAGCTACAACATGAAAAATGCGAAATTTCGCGAAAAAGTTTGCGAAATACGAACCAAAGTTTTCTCATTCTTCCGCGAAAGTTTTCGTTCGCTGGAAGCCCTAGTTACCCACTAAGGATGAGACTGTAAGGACGACCTGAAACTCTTAAATTTGACGACTCTTAGGGTAAATAAAGTTGTTTGTCTTGAATGCTCTTTGATGATTTAGAAAAGAGAAAAAAACAAGTTTACAGTTGCAGGGAAACCTAGATATAAATAAACAGACAGTATACACTTTGTACAGTCGTCTTTGTACACTTTGTACAGTCGTCTTTGTACACTTTGTACAGTCGTCTTTGTACACTTTGTACAGTCGTCTTTGTACACCTTGTACAGTCGTCTTTGGAGTCAAATACTTTGTGGGTAACCCTGTATACTACAGCTCACTTTCATTAAAAAATCTCCTTAAAGAGATTGAGAAAAACAATTCAAAGTGCAAGATGGTTTCTGACATTTTAAGGATGCGTTACTACTTATGTAAGTTTTATTACATATCAATTCATTTAAGAAAATGTGTTTTTAACCCTAAAAATTCCTTTAAAAGGGACTTCAGGTATAGCTTGGACAATAGGCATCCCCGTTAAGCAATACACTGTAAACCTTAGTCTACGCAACTGTTAACTTTCAATTCTTAGTAGGGTTATGCAGCAGAGTCAAAGAAGAAGATTGTCAGAATTCAACACTTTTAAGATAGAAAAAATGACTTTATTCTCCTCATTGACGGCAAAGAAAAGCATGGGGGGGGGTTAGTGCAGCAAAGTCGTAGAAGAATATTCTCAAAATTCAACAATTTTAAGATAAATTTACCCTTCACATTGACGACAAAAAAAAGCATTTGAAGCTTATAATCAGACCATTAGAACTTAAAGTTAATCTTTCTACTAAATAATTTTTCTAGGACACTGTAGTTGTTCCAGACTCTGGTTACACACTTATTAGGTACCTTTAATATCAACACATTTACCTTTAATATCTACACATATACCTTTAATATCTACACATTTACCTTTAATATCTACACATTTACATTTAATATCAACACATTTACCTTTAATATCAACACATTTACCTTTAATATCAACACATTTACCTTTAATATCAACACATTTACCTTTAATATCAACACATTTACCTTTAATATCAACACATTTACCTTTAATATCAACACATTTACCTTTAATATCAACACATTTACCTTTAATATCAACACATTTACCTTTAATANAGGGTTTTTTCTCGTTGATGAAAAACTTTCAAATAATAACAATTAAAATTATTTCAACCAGGATATTGAAATCAAAATTAAATTCGAAATAATCTTTTACAAGCTTTGTACAAGAAATTTGTTTTAGAATAAGGTTGGCTTTCATTAAAAAGAAGAAATCAACATGTCAATTTTTTTTCTTTGAATTTGGAATTTTTAACCAAATTTATTTTAGGTGAAGAAAGTGATTGGGGGAAAGTGCCTGAGAACTTTCCAACATGCGGAAACTTTATATAAAAATATTTATGAAACAATTAAAATTATTTGAAAATCTTATTATATCATAAAGTAATACCCATACAACTGTGGAATAGGAAGACGACAATTCGGGAATTTATTTGATTTCAAAGAAAAATTAACTTTATGGGTTTGATTTTAATTGGACAGTTCAAGATCTAAATTTGAGTCCAAATTCGTCGTCCTATTCCAGAGTTGTAAGGTTATTACCGAAACTAAATTAGACCGGTTCAACAATATATACTTTCAGTTACGTATTAAATAATGTTAATTTTTTCTAAGTGTATTAAAGGCTGATTAAATTTTATTACAAACCATCTACATTCCACAAATACCCTCGGCTGTTGTGAAAAATTCCACAATATTTCAAAATTGGGTCGCCTTGGAAATTTTGCCTTTGATTTATCTCACTTCAAACTTTTTTAAAGCCCTAGACATTTACATTTTATGATTTAAAATCAATTTTTTTACTTTTTAGCAATCCTTCAGAAGTAGTAAGGGGCGAAATTATCATCGATTTCAATCTTTGAATCAAACATAAAGAACTTTTTCCTTTAATTAAACCTTAAACTCTAATTTAGTCTTCCGCGATTAGTCCCTTTACATAAAGAGACTGTTCACATTTATAAAAACCATCCTGCATTCAAAATGTCAAATACGGTTTTCAATCCTTTATCTATCTAATCATGAACGATTGAAAATTTTTACTTTAATCTAAAAACATATGCGCATTCAAAGAAAATAAAATTTAAAAAAATCATTATATAATTTACATTTAGAACATAAAAAGGCGGCATTGTTAATCGTTGATGACATTCTTTAAATTACGGTTAATTAAAGGGACTGTAAGCGTAATTTCAAGTGACCTTCCATCCAAATGGCAATGCCCCATGTCATAACGCGCGATACCCTAAAAGGCTTTGTCTGATCAAGTATATTCGAATTAGATCAATACTTATAATTTTGTAAACTGATTATTTTCAATCTGGAAATCTATGATGGTACGATTGTTCTACAGATCTTCTATTTTATGTTATTAACTGTAAGATATTTTATTTGATTTTATTTGGAATAAACATATATTACGCAATGTTATCTATAAATTGTAATCTTTTAATTCATATAATTAAATAATCATAATATTTTAGTTAAATAAAAATACTTAAATATCAACTCTGTCCGTCCACAATGTTAGATTTTAAAAAAGACATTGCTAAAACAGTAGTAAAATTTGTTTCTAAACACCTTGTTTGTTCCAGGATGAACTGGTTCTGTAGAGTGTTTATCTGGTTTAGTCCATAATGAACTGGTTCTGTAGAGTGTTTAACTGGTTTATTCCATAATGAACTGGTTCTGTAGAGTGTTTATCTGGTTTATTCCATAATGAACTGGTTCTGTAGAGTGTTTATCTGGTTTAATCCATAATGAACTGGTTCTGTAGAGTGTTTAACTGGTTTATTCCATGATGAACTGGTTCTGTAGAGTGTTTAACTGGTTTATTCCATGATGAACTGGTTCTGTAGAGTGTTTAACTGGTTTATTCCATAATGAACTGGTTCTGTAGAGTGTTTATCTGGTTTATTCCATAAAGAACTGGTTCCGTAGAGTGTTTAACTGGTTTATTCCATAATGAACTGGTTCAGTCGAGAGTTCAACTGGTTTATTCCATAATGAACTGGTTCTGTAGAGTGTTCAACTGGTTTATTCCAGAATGAACTGGTGTTTAACTGTGCAGATATCCTAAGTTCTCTTTGCCTCTTCCTCCATCATGACGATCAATCATATCTATGAATAGTAAAATAAACAGGGTTACCCACAAATGATGAGACTTTATTCTTTATATTCACGGTTCGTGAGGCCACAAACTTGTATTTTCATGACCAAATAATTTAATATGCTATTAAACGTCAATAAGCAAGGCAGATGTAACCAAAGAAAATCTAACGTTAAAGATTAAAGAAAAAGAATTCATAATTTTACAATCTACAAAAAGCAAAATGTTGTAATTTGATTAATACAGGTTATTATGGCCCACTACGTTTTTTTAACAATTTTTCCTCTACCCCCCCCCCCCAGAAATAGATTCATTTGAGATTTTAATTTTACCTAGTGCACCTCTGGCAATGTTATTCATCAAAATGCCTGAACAAAAGTAGTCTTATAATCATTAATTTAGGTTTCTTTCATTTTTAGCACCAGTAAAAATGAAATTTATATTATCTGTTTATTATTAGCGGGGAAACAATATGTTTTATCAGTAAAAAAAAAAAAATTAAAATATCAAATATTTCATGAAAAAGCTCAGATATTTCAAACCTGCAAACTTATGAAACGTATTTATCCTAATACAGCTTAAAATACAGTACAGTACAGTACAGTACAGTACAGTGCAGTACTGTACAGTACAGTACAGTACAGTACAGTACAGTAAAGCACAGTACAGTAAATACAGTACAGTAAAGTACAGTTCAGTACAGTACAGTACAGCTTTCTTATCCTTGCAAGCTGTGGCTATCGATCCAAATTTGATTTATCAAACATAAATTCTTCGCTTTTTCTTCTGAATACTTTTTTTTGTTGGCATGCGCTTTTTAAATGAAATGGTAAGAAAAACAGCTCCGTAAGTTTAAAGATTATTGAATTATTATTTAAAGATCAAATAGAATATATCTCTCTCTGGATAGTCCAGAGTGGTTCACCAGTATACAACAATCAAAGAAAACATAAACAAACAAATTCATAACTCTAGCAGACGAAATATTTACAGATTTATACGTCTTTTTTGGTAGACATCAACATAATAAATCAAAAAGACGATCTCAAAATCTTTTTTCAATTCCCTTGTTTTTGGGACACCCTGTACATAATGCTCGACCTGTAGTTGGTAGAAGAATATGAGGATCATTACTAGAAGAAATATTTTTATCCAAGGAGATTCCATCAAAACCTTGAAAAATGTTAAATGATTAGATATACAGGGCAATTACCCACAATGAGACTTCAATGACGCCCTAGAACTCTTTAATTCTGAAGATCTAAAGGTCGGTTTTAGTCTTCAGTTTGAATAGTCTTTTAAAGGGGTATTAAATGTTTTGTCAAAGAAGTTTAAAGCTATATGGAATTATGGATGTAAGAAAAAATGCGGATAAAATTCCGAACAGTTCTCTTTAAAGTCTCATCCATTGGGGGAACCCTATACTTGGAAAATAACCATTACATCAGAAAAATATTATATTAAAATTTTATAGCATTAATTAATTTTGTTTTAATTAATCATTTTAAATTTCCGAAAATTAAAGATTTTTAAAATAGGCAATAATATAAATACAATGTATAATCTTATTTTATATGAATGTTAATCCTCGGATTTTTATCATAATGAACTCTATTTATTTATTTATTTGTAATTCATTGCAGTCTACGCACAACTTCTTTGGGCTTCTTCCTCAGGGTTATTGTGAACAAAAAGCCTTTAAATTTTGGAAAGACGACATCTAGTGTTCTATCGTATTGTTATTAATCTATGTTTAAGATTAATTTTTCGAAATTGTTTTCTTGAAACCAAACTTTTATTTTGTATTTTGGTAGTTAAAGAAAAAACTGTTTACCAAGTGTTGTATTTAAGTAAGCCATATGATCTGGAGTATAGTTCTCTCCAACTCCTGCTTTAGGCTTGTATTGAAACTCTACCCAGGCCTACAGTACAAAAAGGTATTAAAGGGACTTTAGACGTAATTTCAAGTGACCCGCTTCTACAGGGTTACATACACGATTCACAACGGTAACCTTTAGCCCTATATCCACCATTGATTTTAGAGAGAAAGATATTATTGTCAGTTTTTGTGTCTTGGAAATATATAATTTCTTTAGGATTCCTTTTTGTTTATCTTACTCTAGAAATCAACGAATTACTTTTATATATTGTCATCCGACAAAGGTTTAAAGTTTGATCCGACAAAGGTTAAAAGTTTAATCCAACAAAGGTTTAAAGTTTGATCCGACAAAGGTTTAAAGATTGATCCGACAAAGGTTTAAAGTTTAATCCGACAAAGGTTTAAAGTTTGATCCGACAAAGGTTCAAAGTTTAATCCGACAAAGGTTTAAAGTTTGATCCGACAAAGGTTCAAAGTTTAATCCGACAAAGGTTTAAAGCTTGATCCGATAAAGGTTTAAAGTTTGATCCGACAAAGGTTTAAAGTTTGATCCGACAAAGATTTAAAGTTTGATCCGACAAAGGTTTAAAGCTTGATCCGACTAAGGTTTAAAGTTTAATCCGACAAAGGTTTAAAGCTTGATCCGACAAAGGTTTAAAGTTTGATCCGACAAAGATTTAAAGTTTGATCCGACAAAGGTTTAAAGCTTGATCCAACTAAGGTTTAAAGTTTAATCCGATAAAGGTTTAAAGTTTAATCCGACAAAGGTTTAAAGTTTGATCCGACAAAGGTTCAAAGTTTAATCCGACAAAGGTTTAAAGCTTGATCCGACAAAGGTTCAAAGTTTAATCCGACAAAGGTTTAAAGCTTGATCCGATAAAGGTTTTGATCCGACAAAGGTTTAAAGTTTGATCCGACAAAGATTTAAAGCTTGATCCGACTAAGGTTTAAAGCTTGATCCGACAAAGGTTTAATGTTTAATCCGACGAAGGTTTAAAGTTTGATCCGACAAAGGTTTAAAGTTTAATCCGACGAAGGTTTAAAGCTTTTTCCGACAAAGGTTTAAAGCTTGATCCGATAAAGCTTTAAAGTTTAATCCGACAAAGGTTTAAAGTTTAATCCGACAAAGTTCTGAAACCATTCAGAATCGGACAAGTATTAATTAAAGATGCACAAAAGAAAGAAAATGTTTGTACTTCAGATTTAATCAGGATTTTCTTTGGTTCATCATAACGAAAAGATTTCTTGAAACAGTTTTATGTTTATTGAATCCCCCTGTACCTCTGCTGGATAGGCGGATTCTCCGTGTTTAAGATAATCAACCCCTCGTAGCTCCATATCAACTGTGATCCGTAGAAGCCCAAAATACGAGGTTAATCCAAAAATAATAACGCTCCAAAAACAGGACCTATAAATAAAACATTTAAATAAAATGGATGACATCATTTTATCATTGCTATTAATGATAATTGTCCTCGGTAATTTTTAAGAATCTTTAAAGTTTAAAAAATTTAAACAATGATTGAAGAAGGAAAATATGATGAAACCAATAAAATTGATTGTCTTTAAAATTTTTAATTATTTTTGCAAAACTTTTATTTTTGTTTGATCAAAAAAATGTCAAATATATTATTATTTATTCTAATAATTCATATTGTTGGAAGTTGAAAAAAGGAAAGGTGTTTGCATATACGAACATGATTCATGCATGGATAAGATCCATCAAATTGACTCTATTTACCAAACTATAATACAGAAGCACCCTAGAGCATTATATCCCAGCACTGTCCAAGGGTATGCTAAGTGTCCATCGAAAAATATTCCTCTCTTTCCTTCCTAAAAGAAAAAGCTTAATTTTGTATTCAAATTTAGAAGAAAAAGTGTGTTGTTAAAAATTCCTAATCCATAAAACATTTATCTGGGACCAGGGACCGAATATAATGAATTTGAGCTAGGTCGTTAAACTACCTACCTACTAGCGATTAAAAGTTAAAGATTCAAGAGAAATTTGGATACAAACAAACAAAGTATATATTCTTCAACATAGAGAAGATTACGGACATGAAAGAGGAGTGGATGAAAATGTTTTCTTGTAGGTTCTACACCAAAACTACCTTGCCAATTATGATACATATTTTCCCTGAAAATTGAGGGCCTTATACTGGAAAAAAAATTTATGCATACACAGAAACTACCTTTGGAGCTAGTGTTTCTCATGAAATTTGCCCTTAGTCAAAATCCAATCAACCAACGTAAATTTAAAACTGATGAGTGAGAGCGTTTTTCCAAAGTCTCTATTCATAGTGGACACCTTATATATTCACTAATTACATTGACTACATTTATTCTGTAAAAAAAACTGGATTTAATTTAATTATTGTACATATATTATATATATATACCTAATATACCTAATTTGACATATAGTGCAAGTACGCTACTGCATTAAAAAACTCGATTTTTGGGTAAAATTTATCTATGTTACTTTATTTAAGTTGATTGAGTAAGATTATTTGCGCAAAGCGCCAAAATTTTTCTAAACATTTTTTCTTTTGATCCCCCCTTATACACGCCACTGCATGGGAATTGGGAATCAATTTACGATCTTAACATTGATCAATTATATTTGATTTTAATATGTCTATCAATAATAATGTATATGTACATTCTTTCTTCCACTTCGTATATCCGCTATCGCAAACGATTTACAAGTTGATGTTGAATTCCATATATATTGGGACATAATCGATTTAAATTAACGTGAATGTCGTATTCAAAAATATAAATATGTCTTACATCTAGAGTTGCATACATGAAGAATGGAACAGCAAGTAGTCCTAGAACACCTCCTGTACCATGGACAGCTACTGAGTCAAGCGGATCATCAAGCTTAACATGGAAAATTATCAAAATTTGATTTATGCAAAAAAGTATTAAAAATTTAAACATAAAAAGTGTTTAATTGATTTTCAAACACACTAATGTTCTTCTTTAAGTTACTGAATGATAATCTTAATAATGTAATTGTTAAGTACCGAAAGGAAAGTAAAATGAGATAAAAAATAATCGAAACAAAAATTATGTTATGTAATTTTGTCAAAAAATGGCGAAGCACATCCTTAATAACTTAATTTAAAAAAATTTAAACGTAAAAAAATAGGTAGGGGGAGAGGGGGGGAATGTTTTGTGTAAATTTTACATTGCTAGAAACTGATGAAATGTAAATAAACAACTATTGGTAAATAATAAAACCTTGCACGGGAAAATACCTACAGTTATTACAATCTTTTTAAAAATAAAACTAGCTTCCAGCGAGTGGGGGAATGCAGGCGGTCATAAGCCATAACATGTTCCTCTTCCATGCCACATATTAGCTTTTTTTGTCATCTGGCAGTCATAAGACACAACCGTACGTTCTTCCATGCCAAAACATTTGACCTTTCCGGCAATTATTACGTTTTTAAATGATAAATTTAGTGCATTGACATTGCAATTTTCAAAAATCTAGCCGCATTACGCGATAGATCATATCTTTAAGAAGTTTTAGAAGTTCATAAAAGATCAATGAATTGTGTGTTTAGTTTATAATCTGCTTTACATTTTACAAAGAAGATTTTACATCATTATACGCATCGTGGGCACCGAATTAATTGTTTGGGGAGTCTAAAGAATAAGAAGAAAAGGTGAGAAAAATCACAATATTAACTGGCATCATTTGAGCGCTACAGATTCACAGAAAAAAATTGTTCATTGTTCATGTTTTAAAAAATAACCTATTTTAGAGAACGATTGAATTTATTTTTTGGGATAAAAGGTTTAGCAGTTTACATTAAAATGAATAATTATTATTTCAATATAAAACTGAAATATAAATATCTTTCTTTATATATATTTTTTGCATGATGTGGCTGGTTTTTAACAATCGAAATTTCAATGGACTACATTTAACCAATTGAAAACCTAATTTTTGCCGGAAGGGACAAATGTTGTGGCATGGAATACTGTACGGTTGTGTTGTGGCTTATAGCTGCCAGAAGAAAAAAAAGCTAATTTGTGACATGGAAGGGGAAAATGGCCGCCTGCCTTTCTCCACTCTTCTAGCAGTCATATTACGCCGAATATTACAAAAACTACCCCGCCCACTCTTAATTTATCACATTGAACAAAAAATTGCATTTAAAGGGACTGTAAGCGTAATTTCAAGTTACCTTTCATGCAAAGATGGCAATGCCCAATTTTCAAGGATGCCATTGAAACCTATATCTGTCAATATACTGGAAAATATTGTATTTTTTCCAGGTTTAAAAGAGTACAGTTCTTAAAATTCCTTTTTGTTTTCTTGGAGTAGAAATGCGCAAGTTATTTGCTTTTGCAGAGAACCCGCAATTGAAAATATTATAAAAATTAATATCTAATTCCTACTTTATCCGCCAAAGCTTTTATGTTTTATGAGTACCGATGTGAATCGGGCATTGTCTACTTTGCATGGAGGGTTACTTGAAATTACACTAACAGTCCCTTTAAAGAATTCCCTTTTCTGAAAATTAATGCATTAATGATTACCCCGGGGTTACCTGTAATTTAAACATAAGCTGCCTAACAGCCAGGAATATTATACCCGCCATTGTTCCAATAACAAGAGCAGCCCATGGTTCATAAACGTTAGCTCCGCCACAAATAGAAACCATTCCTAGACAATTAACGACGACTTTATGTTGCGTTTTTACTTTCTTGCAGGTTGGCAACATTTTTGTTTTCCGGGTTAGATATGCTTTACAACCGTAATTTAGACTTTTAGGCTAGGTTACATCCCCTTAACGAAAGACCCATTGTTTTAAGTTAACAGAAAATTCAGTTATTGAACAATTCAGTTATCGAACAATTCAGTTATCGAACGGAAAAATTATCAATTTTCAAATCGTGAACGACTGAAGAACCGTTCAGGATAAAAAATGAAAGGAATATTGCAAATAACAAACGTATGCTTTCAAAAAAGGAAATGTTCGTTAGTTTTTATTATTTGAGGTGCATGAAAGACATAACAAATATTTTTTTTAAATGTGTAATGAAGTTCTAAAAATGTTCAGGGGGTATAATTTTAACTTTTGCGGCATTTTTAATTGCATAAAAAAGTCAAGAGTTTGGTATTTAATTAATGGCCTCTGTTTGTTGACATTGATAGGTCTAAAAGTAAAGAAAACACAAAGGTTAGAAACTTTTGAATTTTTTAAATTTATTTCTTCGGTTTAGAAAACTTATAAATCTAAATCTTTAACCTGCGAGGGAACCGTTTAGTGTCACCAAAAAGCTCCAATGATGATGAAAAACAAATCTAAGAAAATAAAGTCTTTTATTTTAAAAGCCACCATACAATCTTAGATACAGTGTTGAAAAAAAAAGTTTTATCTTTTTCTTGAGTTATTCAAAAAGAATTTTTCTATCTACACATACCCCTCACTAACTTTAGACTCAAAATATATTCGAATTTGATGTGTCAAAATGTATAATCTATATATATAAAGTTGTAATCTCTGTGTGTCTGTTTGTTTGTTTGCCCGATCATAACTTAAAAACCCCTTGCCCGATTTGCCTCATATTTTGATTTTGATTGAGACACTTGGTAGAACCATGGGAATGTTTTTCAGCTTGGTTTGCAAATTATTGAGTAGGTTGACTTAAAGGGACAGACCGGCTATGTGAGATAGTTGAACTGAGTATGCAGTGTTGTGGAAAGCTTCTATACAGGGTGTCCCAAAAAACATGGGAATTCAGTGACGAATTCGATATCGTCTTTTCAAATAATTCTTTGATTTAGTATAGTGATACCTACTGAGAAAGCTGTAATCTGTAAGAGTTTCGTCTGCTATGTTTACATTTTGTTTGTTTATGTTTTGACTGCAACCGGTTGTACTTAGTAAAACAAGAAAATTACAGTATACAAACAAAGTAAACTTGTCCGTCTTCACTGTTCATCTTGCGGAGACATTATACACACATCTTTACAGTCTTTTACCCTTTTCATTAAATAAACTCTAGCAGACATAATAATATTATGGCTTTTGAAATTAGGTATTACAATGCTAATTCATAACAAAGACGATATCGAATTCGTCACTGAATTCCCATGTTTTTTGGGACACCCTGTAGGATTCATTTGAGACATCAAATATCGACAACATAAAATGTAAAAAAAAAATTTTACATTAAACTAATTAGTTGTTTAGGAGCAGGTTGAGAAAATGGAAATTAATCTTATCATCGAAAATAAGTAATCTTGTTCAGTTAGTTCCTATTTTCTCATTATTCTGGTTTCTCATTATACACAAAGATTTTCTGGAATTATTATTGAAAAGACGACATTTGAAGAATTTGAAGAAACCTGCGAATAAATTCAAAGAAAATAAGAAGTTCAATATAATGATGAAAACGACATAATTGATTTTAGCACTGATTTATTGACAAATTTCTTTTGAGAAATATGTTCCTAACCATTTAATTATAATTTTTACTTTTTTTTGTCGTTGTTATTTAATAATTTAAAAAAACGATTCTGAAAACGTATCCACCCCCAAAATACGAGTTTTTAACGTCAAATTTGCGCTCAAACTCGGACTTACAGATCTTTAAAATGTTTTATAATGTCTTAAATGAATCATAAAGAAGCTTTCCACAACACTGCATACTCAGTTCAACTACCTTACATAGCCAGTCTGTCCCTTTAAAGGTTTAGTTTTTAAGACAAAACTATGTTCCCAAGTTAGTATATAATATTTGCTTAACTTTTTTCTTAGGATTTACCCCATATGCATAATTGGATGTCGAAACATATTTGGATTTAAATTTTTTTAATTAGAGTACACGACCTTTAATTAGAGTACACGACCTTTAATTAGAGTACACGACCTTTAATTAGAGTACACGACCTTTAATTAGAGTACACGACCTTTAATTAGAGTCCACGACCTTTTTAAAATTATACATAAAATCAGTAGAGTAACTAAGGTATCATTTTCATCCCTTTTTACATTAGTGATTTTTTAAGCTTTCATGAGACGTATATTTGAAAACTGTATTCTCTTAAAGTTAGATTTTATTACACTATGCAAAATATTAACTTTGGAAAAAGATTAACGATTTTTCAGATCGTTTATGCTTCGCTTAGGCTTACATTTTCTACGGTGTCCTAATTTGATGAATTTAAGTCGCGTCCTAAATCCCCCAAAACCGGTTTCAATTGAACACCAGCTTAAATCGTGAAAAATTTTATACAGTTTTAAGCGGACCCAGCCATATCTGAGCCGCGGCTTAAATTTAAATTCTTTAAATTCGGCCTAGGATGAAAAAATGATGACTTAAGCAAGAATGTTCTGACGTCCCCTGAAAGCAAAAAACCTGGAAGATTTAAAAATGGAAGAAACGAAGTTCACCTTTAAAGGTTTAAGTATCAAAATCAGGTTTTTCTGTACTATATGAATAGTATAAGGATTAGGGTTACTATAGAGTATAGAGTAGTATATGTAATATATATACTTTGCTTGTCTGTTTGTTTGTATGTTTGTTTCCAATAAACGTAAAAACGGCTAATCGATCGGGCCGAAATTTTGTGTGAACCTCGCATGACCCTAGGAAAGGTTTATGAAAGCTTAGAATTACAAAAAGTTGTATCCAAAAGCTTTTGAATTTTTGTGAAATCTTTAAAATTTGCGAAAAATATTTGAAAATCCACGAGCTTTTTTTGTTACTGTTTTATACTGTACAAAGAGAAGATGCTCACAGATAGAGCCACAATTAAAAGTTGAAATAGAAGATGGGCCCGAAGCGTCCTAAAAAGCCTATAAATACCTATAAATAAGAAGAACACTGATACCCCCTGAGCTTGCTCCTAGAACAGTGTTTACAATTGCAAGCGCCACTAAACAGATTTCATTTCAATAAAGTCAAAAACACAAATTCAAAATGATTTTTATGTGAAAATGCGGAAATGTGAAAGCAAATTAATTAGAATTTAAATTTTCTAATCGTCCATGCACTCTTTATATTGTCATTAAAATCAAAAAAAAATTAACAAGTATTAATTTTGCTGATTTTTTCAAAATAAAATGTAACAATGTTTGAAATGAAATAAATGTAGTCCTGTAGCCCCGTCTCCTTCTTGGGATATTGATGCCTAAAAAAAGAAAAAATTAAGATATGAAACGTTTTTCAAAGCATAATTCAAGTTGTTTATTTTTCACAAATACCTCTTTAAAAAATAATAGTCAAACCCATGACACAGTAGAATGGGAAGATGACATTTAAGTAAACCTTAACTGAAAACTTTAGGATGGTGGATATCGAGATTAATGCTTGATCCTCTCTTTAGGATGGTGGATATCGAGATTAATGCTTGATCCTCTCTTTAGGATGGTGGATATCGAGATTAATGCTTGATCCTCTCTTTTTCTTAATATCGAGACTAACCTAATCTTGTACTTGTTTTGTATCCTAAAAAGTGTATAACATTCAACCAATCAGAGTCGCGTATATGAACCCTAAAAATTTGAAATTTTGTGCGCCATTTAAGATTAATATACAGAAACGGGAGGAACTTTCTAATTTTAAAAACCGGTTTTTGATTTTTCTCCTCTATATCCAAGAAAGGACGATTTAAAAAGAAAATCGAAAGTGTTTCCATTGGATACTCATATTAAGTAATCGGAAATAGGGATACCTCATTCTAAAGTTTTCAGCTCATATGTGTATTTGATGTTGTTTGATGATCGATTTTATCAAATAATATGAGCTTGATACATACCGCACAATTGTCCTTTCATGTCCATTTGTATATTTGCTTGAGCAAGTCGTCTTCTTATTCCACAGTTTTAAAGGTACTACTGTAAACTTGTTTTGCTTACAGGGTTTCCTGAGCTGAAAACTTTAGAATAGTGGATATCATGATTAATGCTTGATCCACTCTTTTTCTTAATCTAGAGATTAAATAATGCTTGTTCTCCTCTTTTTCGTAATCTCAAGATTAACTAACCAATCGGGATTAAGAATATCGCATTCTAAAGTTTTCAGCTCTGCAAACGAAGACTTTTGGCGAAATTATGCGAATATTTCTTATTACACTAACAAAATGTAAAAAACTGAGAAATTTTCGGCGAAATTTTTTTTACAAATCCATTACATTTTTGGCAGATAGTCCAATAAATCCCAGAATAAGGATGAATCCTCCAAGTGCAGAGAGAGGTACAGAGTGTCCCAACATTTCCAGAACCTGGCCTAGATACATATATTCATATTTATGTCAGTGTCTCATTTGTGTGTGGAAAACGTCAAAATATTGAACATTGAAATATTAGAAATATGTGATTGTTAACTTTTGATTGTTTACTGTAGGTAACTAAATTAAAAAAGGTTCCAATATCTATATTTATATCTTTGTCATGTTTTAAGGATTAAGAAATACTTATTTTCAATTGAAAAGAAATATTTGTATCGTGATTAGTGACATTATTTTTTCTTTGCAATTTTGATTGAAAGATTTGAAAAACGAATATCTTTATCTTTACAGAAAATGTTCACTTGTAAAACACAGATTTGTAGGTGGGGAAGGGGGGGGGGTATTGACTTTTTATTAAATAACCTTGTTTATTAAACCGGCCACGTCGTCTTCCAATAAATGCGCAGGCAACCAAAGAACAAGATGAACCAACCAAATGGACTACGCCAGATCCACCAAAATCTGATAAAAAGGAATAAAGTAATATTGATAATAATAATCAAAAATTATTAACTTTTATCCAGTAGAAATCTAGGCCCAGCTATCTTCAAAATAACCGCTATAGGACAAAAAATATCATAAGAGATGTTGTAGATACGGGGTTAGCTATAAAGGATGAGACTGTAAAGACGACTTTAAATTAAATTTTCTGCGTTGAATATGTTCTTTCTTATTTAATGATTTAGCAAAGAAAGCAAGAAGATCATACTTGTTTACAGTAAGAAATTTTATTGACCCCCCACTTGTGAAGTGGTATTTCTGATTTACAACAATACCATTGAACATTTTATCCGAGAAAAAGATATTAGGAAGATATACCACCCTCCCCTTCCTGCTCTAAGTATAGGATAAAAACACCGGTGTGTTTGATAGCATTGTTGTTTCACTATCAATACAAGTGTTGAATTTTACATTCTCCTTCAGTCATTTTTTATGGATGAAGGGTCACTTGAAATTTCAATGGCAATCTCTTTAAAAGATTAACACTTGTTAAGAATTTGTGACAAAATTTGTTTACCTAAGAATCCAGCTTCATTCAGCCAGCCTTGGCCATTGCCCTGAAAAAAAATAATTAAATCTTAAATATGTCAGCACTCAACACATACAAGTGTGATACTGAAAAAAAACTAGAGATGCAGAAATTAAAAATTTTAAATTATCTAAAATTCCAGGGACTTTTGACGTAATTTCAAATGTATCATGTGCAATTCACAATGGTACTCTTTAAACCTTAATCTATGCAACAATGAGGAAGCTATCATAATTTTTCTTTTTGGAAATCTACTAATTACTGACAAACACTTTAAAGACCATTGGCAATTCCCTTTTGTTGAGAAATCACAATTGTAAATTAATGGGATACGAATGTTTAAAGGGTACCGTTGTGAATCGGGCATGTCCCTCTATTTAAAGGAGTGGTCACTTCAAATTACGCCATCTGTCCCTTTAAATGAAACCAATATTTGACGATAATAAAAGCTTACATTGTAGTCCCCATAGTCCCAGGCCCAGTGGGATACAATGGGATACACAAACCCAGTGATGACAGTACTGTAGATAAAGTAGGCGCCGATTTGACAACGTTCTGCTATAGCGCCAGCAACTAACAAACCATTTCTTCATATTTATATATTGTTAGCTGTTAATTGTAATCTTACGAAGGCAGTACAGCTTATATAAACTATTTAAAGGTCCATAGCATCTAGCAGAGCACTGCACTGGTGTGAATGTGCAAGCTCTCATCTGACTGGGGTTTCGACTTTCGATGAGTAATGTCCGAATTTAATGAATTAAAGCCGCGGCTCAAATTCTTTAAATTCGGCCTTTATAGGTTACCTAACGATTTATCACATGAGATTGAATAAATGTCGTCTTCCTATTTCAGAGTTTTATTTGTCCCACTATATATCCAGGCCCCCCCCCCCTCACCTAGGTGTGTCATACATGTTCAATGTCCTTCATAAGCCCCAAGAATTTTTTATTCGTAAAATAAGTACAGTTGCGAAAAGTTGCACAAATACAAAACATTTCTTCATTAGGTAGGTTTTAAATGTTTAAAATATGGTTGCCTATAGTGGAAGATGTTGCTGCAAATCCAAACTGAAAAAGTTAAACTTGTTTTATTTTTTTTTTACATGCAAAAGAATAGGCAAAAAAGGGTAGAGAAACCATAAAAATGCTATATTATATTTGGCTTTTTAGTAGTTTGACTTTTTTCTTGTTTTACCTGGAAAAACCACTTTGGATACTTATTATAGTCAAGATGATAATTCAAAAATTCCGACGCTCCGCAGAAACCGTTTCCACCTGAAAAAGCAAAGATGTCGACAACGCTTTTTTAGGAGGCTAGTGTAATTTTTGCTATCGCCATTTTTACTATGTTCACCTAGCTAGGAGCTAGCTGGGAGTCCTGGCCCCTGGGAAACGTCATTTTTGTGATACAATATTTTTTTATTTGAAAAACATCCCCCAATACCCGTCAGATTATTTTTGGTTAGGTTGGGCTACATGCTACAATTGAGGACTGAGCACTGTGAATAGGACAGGCCGGCAGGGGCCAAGCGCTGTGGCTATGAGAACCTAGGGAATTATTTCACATAGGAAAAGAGTAACATATCAAAAATGACGTGCAGTAAAAATTGCAACTAGCAAAATTGGATATAGAAAAATTGGCACGAGCAAAAATGACGGTAGAAAAGATTAAAAAATGTCGTGGCACCATCCAAAAAAAGTTTTATATTACTTTTTATATTTTTTACCTGATCCATAGGCTAATCCCCAGCCAAAAGCCCAATAGGAGATTCCTGGAGATATCCAACTTAATATCAATAATCTCAAATCTCAATAATCTTAAATCTCAATCATTCTAAATCTCAATAATCTTATATCTCAATAATCTTAAATCTCAATTCTTAAATCTCAATAATCTAAAATCTCAAATTATTCTACAATCTACTGGCATGTATAGGTAGGGTTGTTAATAGTTAATAGTTAATAGTTAATAGTAAAACGATCGTTTTTTGTTTCGTTTTTCAATTGTTTTTGAATTCGATCGTTTCGTTTTCGGAAGAAAACGATCGTTTTTAAAAGCGACCCACTCATTTTGAACTTTTAGAAAACGAAACGATCGTTTTTATAAAAACTATTTGCGACTGTTTTTATAAAACTATTTGCGACTGTTTTTCATACATTATTTTTTAAAAAACGATCGCTTGTGAAAAAACTATCGTTTTTGAAAAACTATCGTTTTTGGACAAACATTATTGACAATTATATTAACAATCGTTAACGAAGGGTCGTCGTCAACGATCGTTAACGTTTAAAGCAGATTCTGTTGCAAAGAAGACATTTAAATAAATCTGTGAGCAAAGGAATTGAGTCTTTGCCATTAACTTAAATTTTCTAATCCATAAATCTTTGCAACTTGATAGTTTAAACCTTTGATATTTCAAACTTACATTATCTTAACATTGGGCCTCCAAGATTTAAGGATTAGAAAATCAGAGTGTGTAACTAAGATTCAATTCCGTTATACCAAATGAAAAATTCAAGATAATAATGATAAAAATTATCAGTTCTAATATTACTTTCATCGATAGTTTCTTAATTTTGCTAAATGTTTCGTAAAAAAATTGCTTCTCCGGACTATTCCTTCTGGTTTAAAAAAGGTTAAAGACTGTTTTAAAAAGGTTAAAGACTAGGGTAATAAAAGAAATTCCACGATTTTTGGTTTTCGCGAACCAGATCATAATTTTTTTTGGCAAATAACTTATTTTTCTAATCGAATCCTAATCAAATTTGATTTGTCCGGTTATATCCGGTTTTAGCAAGGCGTTGGAATCACAGCGACTCCTTCCATTTTCTGTCAAATCTGGTGTAAACCTGTAGAATTAGTTTGTTCTCATTAAACTAATTGTTTTGTTTTATTTTGTATAATTTATCATGAGGAAACCAGTCTTGGCTAATCCGTGGGGAGACATTAGTCAAAATATTTAATGGAATTGAATCATTAGGAATTATCTGTTAATAATAGGTTTAAGGAGGGAGGGGGGGAGGTTATTACTGTTAAACAGTATGTCCTTAAAAACCAGATGAGTCAAAGATTGATAATCCTACGCTTTTTTGTATAAAATATAGCCCCCGATGCATATAAATAGTTTATGTAATAGATGTATATAATTATGAATTATATATCATAAATATCAAATCAGGATTTTCTTATTTGCTTAAATATCCGTGGATACTGCGCAAAACTTTTGACTTTTAGCAAATTTATAAAAAGAAATTAAATATTAAGTTGAATTTCCTCCGATGAAAGCATCCAGCAGGTTTTTGATCAGAATATTTACGGTGTTCTTGGATCTAAAAAAGATATAATTTAATATTATTTTTTTAAAGATACTGAAAATATACTTTCACTTAGAAATATTGCAGTACCAAACAGTTATTGAATATATTGCAGTACCAAACAATTATTGAATATATTGCTGTACCAAACAATTATTGAATATATTGCAGTACCAAACAATTATTGAATATATTGCTGTACCAAACAATTGGTTTAAACATTTATCACGTGTGAATGGACTGTAGGAGACTTAATTTTAAGTGACCTGCCAGAGTTACATGAATGATTCACAACGACACCATTTAAACGTTTGTAACATTGAGAAAGATATCGAAAATAGAAAATAAATAAAAACGTCAGAAAAAAAACAGACAAAGGTTTAAAGGGTACCATTGCGAATGGCGCCGCTCTTTAACTTTGGGGTTACCTTAAATTACAACAAAATTCCCTGAACCTAGTTAACAACTTACCTTACAGCTCCTGCCTCTAAGAAAGCAAATCCACACTGCATAAACCAGATTATCACACCGAAGACGATCAAAAAGAAATGATCCGTACTCTTCTCAAGACTCAACAGCTGTTTAGAAAGCTCCTCAACAGTCAGAACAGGATATTCTTTACTCTTGGTCTGGTAGGGCAGTGGTCTTTGCCAGCGTTTCCAGGAGGCGTTGGACGGACGGAAAAACTGTCTGGTACTTTCACCGTTTATAATACTGGCAGAGAGGTTGAAGGGTTGAAGGTTTACCTTCACGGGTTGGTCAGGGAGATGTTTTAGGACCGGTGATAAATCAGGTTTTATAACATCATCCTTGCTTTCAATCTTCTTGAAGGGAAGGGCGCCAATGCCATTAGATTCTTTAGAACTAAAAGGATTCGATTTATTTGAAGTAGTTGGAAAAATGGTTGTTGTTGGTGTTGAAGAAATAACCCCAGGTAGAACTGATGACATGGCTCTGCTCTAAAAAAAAACAAAAAGAATTTTCATTTTACTTTGCTTTTTGAAAGTTTGAAAGAATGTAACACCCATTATTATTAAGTTTGAAAGAATGTAACTCCCAGATTAAGAATTTAAAAGAATGTAACTACGAGATTAAGTTTGAAAGAATGTAACTCCCAGATTAAGTTTGAAAGAATGTAACTACGAGATTAAGTTTGAAAGATTGTAACTCCCAGATTAAGTTTGAAAGAATGTAACTCCCAGATAAAGTTTGAAAGAATGTAACTCCCAGATTAAGTTTGAAAGAATGTAACTCCCAGATTAAGTTTGAAAGAATGTAACTCCCAGATTAAGTTTAAAAGAATGTAACTCCCAGATTAAGTTTGAAAGAATGTAACTCTAAGATTAAGTTTGAATGAATTTAACTACGATATTAAGTTTAAAAGATGATAAATCACAGATAAAAAGTTTAAAAGTAAAAACAAAATAAATTTGAAAAACAATAAATTAAGAATTAACACAAATTACACTTTATATATTTAGTTTTATAAGCTTATGATCTGTGCACTGTGAAGCTATATTATTTTAATTTTAATTAAAAAATAAACAAAAATCTAGAATTATGATTATTTTGATTAGATTATACGTCATGGGCCCCAAACCAGTTTCTTAATGATATTAATTGCTGTAATTTAAACAATGAAAGTATAATAATTAATAAACGGGTCAAACTATTGCAGCAAATCAAGTTTTAAGGAAACTTTCCGTAAACAACTTGTTGCTCAATTAAAACTTTTTTGGCATTTAAATCTTTATTATATAATTGGAAGTGGGGTACTATTTTCCCAACTTATTATTCAACTTTTTCATAAAACTGTGTATGCAGGGGACGCAACTTCCAAACCGTGTTTATGTTCTAAACTTGACACTGGGTGTCAGGTTTGGACACAAATAATAAGATCAATATAATCTATATTTGCAACATATTACAAAGCATAACAAGAACGAAAAATACCATTATCAAGAATATATGTAAATATTCAGTGATTGCCAGAAAAGTCTGAAATAAGAAGACGACTTTATTGCAGTACTTAAGTGTTACAAATAGGTTTACTAGACACATTAAATAACTTTAATTAAGTGAAATGGGTCCAATTGCGGTGTCCATGCTTCTTAGACTATATAAAGTCATAACTTAAAGGGACTCTAAAGGAAAAATTAAAAGTGGTATAGGCTGAAACTTAAACATTTTAGGAGTTGATCAAGACCCAAAAAAGTTTTATCTGATGATTCTGTCTCGAGAAATGGATATAAAACGTTGTCAAATTTCTACGAAAATTTATATTTAAAAAAATGAGTATAAAAATTGTAGTTTTAAACATATTATTTTCAGCAAATACACCATTAATCTAAACGACGATACGCTAGAGGAGCCTGAAAAACTTAGGTTTGCTCCTATTATTATTTTAATTTAATAATTTTTAACTTTTAACCGTCTGTATCTGATAGAAGTCTGATTGGTCTTGGTCAACTCCTAAAAAGTATAGATTTCAGTCTATACCCCCTTTCATTTTTCCTTTACAGTCCCTTTGAGTCTATACAAATTGTCATTCTATTTCAGAGTTTTCTGGTCATCTCTGTAAGAATGCAGACAGTTTTTTCTACTCGACATTAATTAAAAGATATAAATAGTTCAAAAAGATAATTTTGTTACTATGGCACAAACCTGACATGCCTTTCGAATAATAGAAAATCTTTAGTAAAAATATTGGAAAATTTAAAGTTGGGAATCTACTTCTTGGTAGTTTGTACTTGGAATTCTATGTAGGTGTATCACCATATAAGATGATCTCGAAATCATCACTCGATTCCCATGTTCATTGGGAAACCCTGTAACTTAAACGTGATGTCCGATGGTGATGCTTACCTGACGATTACCGGATACCTCCAGCACCTTACAATGTCGGATAAGAACTGAAGAGCAAGAGCTCTCTGGAGCCCATTAAATCAAATATAAATGAATAGTTTGACTAAACCGGATTAAAGTTGCTAATGGTTTTTTTTCAGGTTCAACATTTCCTCGGCATAATGAACTAAGCGCGCGCATTTATATAACCTTTGCTTCTATATCGATATTATTATCATTTTAATGCTAGGATTCCGATTTAAAGCCCAATTTACGTAAGGGTGTAAAACAAGAAAATTGCAGTATTCAAACAGAGTAAACTTGACCGTCTTCACTGTTCATCTTGCGGAGACATTAAAGACACATCTTAACAGCCATTTACCCTTTTCATAAAACAAACTCTAGCAGACATAATAATATTATGGCTTTTAAATTAGATATATTACAATGCTTATTCATATAAAAGACGATATCGAATTCGTCACTGAATTCCCATGTTTTTTGGGACACCCTGTACCATCCATTTTTGATGCTTTAAAAATTTCTCGTGACTGAATCCAGTCTTGTTAGACGAATATTTTTATATCCTGTTTATAAATTGAATAAAGAAAATTTTAAATTCAAGAAATAATTTCTCTGAAAATATTGTAAATTTCGTACATTAAAAAATTAAATTTATTATTATTATTAGAATTGTTTTCTTGCTACAAATACCAGAATTAGTTATTAATTAAGTTCTTCGGTTTGCTACATATTGCAGTGAGAACCACACAACGGTGGAACAGGAAGACGACATTAATGCAATGATTCAATGTTTCTGATGTTCTTACAAAATAAATGGTTTCACTATGGTAACTTATTAAATCACATATTAAATGAAATTGGTTTTTATTTACAGTTTAACCCTCGGAAGAAATTTTCAAATGTCGTATTCTTCACTCTCTGATAATGGAATATTGCAGATATTTAGTTTTTTAATTAAATGATTATATGGAGCTCTTTTATACTGTTCCCGCATATTCATGGCTAATTATTTATTTTCGTAAAACAGTATAAAACCTATTGAAAAATTGTCAAGACGACATTTGATAAATTTGTTCGATGTATGGCTCATTTAGGGGTCAACTGTATAAAAGGTGATTCTTGATTTTTTTGCGTAGCTCAGCTGCATTAAATATATGATACGGAACATTAACACGATATGGAATTTCTAATATTAAATTTGAAAATATTGCAATTTTACTTTAAGATTGCAGGGTCAATTACCTTTTTTTATAATAATCTAAATGTTATTCTTTTCTTTACATTTTCTAAGAAAACTACGCATTAATAGATACATTTTCGTATCAAGAACCCTTTTTGACAAAAACGTAGAGATTTAGAGAACTTCTGAAACTGGTGTACTGAAAAATCGTCTTCCTCAAAACAGCAAAAAAAATGAGCTTACGTCATATCTCTCATGCATCAAAGAAATATAAAAAAGTGAAAAACTACAATAAAAACCAGTGAAAATGATTATCTTGCGCAAGATATTTTTCTCTTATAAAATCCAAAAGTCAAGACCATGAATCCAAACATTTTAAATATATATTTTGTAAAAGTAATATTTCCATGAAGGATCGATTAGAGATATTTAATATTGTAAACAACTTAATCTCTCTTATGATATACTAGCTTGGGAACCTAGCTTTGCCGTGTTTGTATAAAATGCCTTCTTTTTGAGCGAAAATTTTATGTACAAATTAAAAGAAAATGGTATTGAAGGCTTTGAGAGCTAGTTTTTGTACATTTTTTGAGACTTTTCAGATTATTAAATGCCTTTTTTTCGAAATTAGAAAATGTAAATACTTTTAAACTAGAAGTTTTGGCGGTAGTGAGATTTGAAATTCCAAAATGAGAATATAAAATTCAAACTTTTATTTTCAAACTGTGGTATTGGTGGTAGTGAGATTTGAAAATCCAAAATGAGAATATAAAATTTAAACTTTTATTTTCAAACTGTGGTATTGGCGGTAGTGAGATTTCAAAATCCAAAATAAGAATATAAAATTTAAACTTTTATTTTCAAACTGTGCTATTGGCGGTAGTGAGATTTGAATATAAAATTTCAACATATATTTTTAAACTGCGGTATTGAGGGTAGTGAGATTTGAAAATCCAAAACGAGAATTTAAAATTTAAACTTTTATTTTTAAACTGTGGTATTGGCGGTAGTGAGATTTTGATTTCTATCGAAATTTTATATTTGGATTTTTGATTTTCAAATCTCACTATCACCAATACCACAGTTTGAAAAAAATTTTATATTCTCATTTTCATTTTCAAATCTCACTACCACCAATACCAGAGTTTGAAAATAAAAGTTTAAATTTCATATTCTCATTTTTGATTTTCAATATCACTTTTTTTTATGAATCTCACTACCTTAGAACTTGACACTATATACTTTAATTTTATAAAACTGGGGCATTTTATACCTACAGGGCTTTGCCAGGAAACTTAGTTTTCCCTGTAAAAATGTACGTCGATTCACTCAACTCTATAAGTTTCTAAACAAAGCAAAAACCAAATTCCCATGGTTTTAACGAGTTGGAGTCAAATCGGTCAAGGGGTTCCCTAGTTATTATCAGACATACAAACAAACAGAGATTACTACTACAGTAAAACCCTTAATAACGAATACATCGAAAGAATTTATCAAAAGTCGTCTTGACAATTTTTCAATAAGTTTTATACTATATTACGTAAATTTTAGTATTTGCGAAAATAAATAAATAGCCATGAATATGCGGGAACAGTTTTAAAGAGTTCCATATAATCATTTAATTAAAAAACTAAATATCTGCAACATTCTATTATCAGAAAGTGAAGAATACGACATTTGATGAATTTTTTCGATGTATTCGTTATGAAGGGTTTCACTGTATTTATAAAACTAGCAAATAGCTTGGGAACCCAGCTGTACCTGGAAAAAAGTTTTCTTGATAAGACCCAACCTATTTAACTAAGAACGTGTTTAAACCTAAAAGTTCTGCCTCTCTCTCTAAATCGAGGATTATTTTTAATTACTTCAAAATTCCCTTTAAATGGTGTTTAAATGGACATATTTATTGATTAATTGAATGGCAATGTTGACTGATTGTAACTAGATGATGATAAATAAATGGATAGAATGTATGAGAAATGATCAATCATAATTTGTCCTCATATAACGATATTAATAAAATCAATGATTTGTCATTTTTGGGATTCTCAATCCTCCAAGCTATATACATACAAGGAGTCATTCTAAATATGACTAAATTGGACTGTAAGCGTAATTATAAGTGAACCTCTCTGCAAAGATGATAATGCCCGATTTACAGTGGTATCCTTAAAAACTTTGTCTGATCAAGTATGAATTAGATATCCATGTTTATATTTCTTTATTCTGTTTCTTTACATTTGCGGTTTCTCTGTGTAAGTGACTTGCGCATATCTTTATATTTAAGATCTGCAATCACTCTGGGCCGTAGTAAATTTGAATTAAAATAGGACCTTCCCAGTTTGTACCGGCCTGTCAGATAACAGCGTGTACTGACCCGATTCTATGACCATGTTCTGTACAGTACGTCGCCCTAACCAGAGTAACATACGGCAGGTGTCAATTTTCTTGACAGGGTCCCGTCGGAGGGCTAACTATGACAACTCCCATGGCGCGTTCAGACTTTTTACAGTACCCGGCCTAATCTATAGGTCTATTTGACCGACCCCACTGGCTTAGTCCACCGTGGCAATGGTGAGATTATTAGAATCAACAACTTTTCGAGTTATAAAAACATTTTTGATTAGAATAAGGTTATCGTTGAAAATCGGGCATAGCCATTTTTGCATGGAGGGTCACTTGAAATTACGCGTACAGTCCTTTAATAAGACAACTTAAAGACCTTAAATATTGTGTATTCGTCGTCAATTCTAGTGACAAAATAGCGATCAACATCCCCATTTTTTATCCCGTAAATGTAGATTTTTTTGTTATTTTCCAATTTCAGTCTTTGGGAGGGGGAATCTTTTCTAGAGGAAAGAAAAGGGGGATAGGAATTATTTTCTAAGGCCGGTGAGGGGGAAATCGTGTCTCAGGGGAGGGAATAGATAGATAGATAGATAGATAAATAGATAGATAGATAGATAGATTGATTGATAGATAGATAGATAGATTCACATCGACGACGGTCTAGCTTTAAGATTTCATAGAAATGTCTGGCCTTACACTAAGCAAGACGATTGATGCCTCTCTTAAAACTACGTCGACATTCCCTTTAAAGAACCTTGGTTTCCTTTAAAGGGACAAAAAACAACCAGATTCTGTAGTTTCCTCTTAGGTTTGCTGGAGGGATGGTAGTGTAGAGAATTATACGAATTAAATTCATAAATTCAGTATAAATATCCTTCATTCAAGTTCTAGTATAATTATCATTCCTTTTTATACACACCTAACAGACAGACAACAGACAGACAACAGACAGAGTACAAACAGACAAAAGACAGACAACAGACAGAGAACAAACAGACAAACAGACAGACAACAGACAGACAACAGACAAGACAACAGACAAGAAAACAGACAGACAACAGACAGACATTAGATAGACATAAGAAAGACACCAAACAGATATCAATTAGACAACAGAAAGACTACAGAAGGACAAAAGGCAGACAACAGACAGACAACAGATAGACAATTGACAGACAACAGAGAGACAACAGACAGACAGCATATGAACAACACGCAGACAATTATTTTATGTTTATTGTATAATGTATGTTTTGTACATGGCCTGGTGCTGAATAGGATCAAACTGCGATTAACTCACATTATTAACATTATATGATCACACAATACCATCACATCTATCTATGTTACAGTTTAAAGGTACTATCGGCGTAAATTCAAGTGACTTCACATTTTAAAAATAGAAGCATGCCTGATTCACAACGGTACTCATTTAACCTTTGTCTGAGTTAAAATTGTGAAAATATCATCAATTTTCTATTTAAAAATCAAAAATTTCTAATTGTGGGTTTTCTATATAAGTGACCTGCGGTGTGGAGACAATTAGAACGTAAATAAT